GGCGCAGGCCGGCGGCGGGGAGGCGCCCGCGTCCGAGCCCCGGGCCGGGCCTGAGCACCGCGCCATGGCGGAGACCAAGATCATCTACCACATGGACGAGGAGGAGACGCCGTACCTGGTCAAGCTGCCCGTGGCGCCCGAGCGCGTCACGCTGGCCGACTTCAAGAACGTGCTCAGCAACCGGCCCGTGCACGCCTACAAATTCTTCTTCAAGTCCATGGACCAGGACTTCGGGTCAGTGGGCCGTGGGGCCTGTGCGCGGGTATGGGTCGGCACCTGTCTGCGCCCGGGCAGGGCCCTGGGGATCCTGGGTGCCTCCGCGCCCCGGTGTGGTGTGTTTCCCACCTGTCTGTGCCCTGAGCTGCCTGCCCAGGAGCCTGAGAGCTCTGGACGGTGGGCAGGGGAGCGTCCTGGCTTCTCCACCCACCCTGGGCCCAGTCTTGTGTGCCTGAGTGTATGTGAGCTGTGGGTCAAGGTCCGTTGCCCAGGCCAGGGGGACCCCGAAGTCCCACCGTGGCACCTGTCAGACTCAGGGTCCCGCTGCCCTCCTTCTGTGGCAAGCAGGTGCTCAAGGCTGGCCTGGAGGGCTTGTGATTAAGGGGGCCTGCGGTCAGAGGAGTGTCGGGGTGTCCAGGGGAAAGGGTGGGGGCAGGGTCCCCTAGGAAGCCTGGGGGAAATCTGTCTGCTGGGGTCTGCAGAGGTTTCCAGAGGCTCAAGATGGCCTCTCCCTGGTCCCCTCCACCAGAGTCCTGAGGACAGGGCAGAGGTCAAGGGTCACTGGGGACTGTGAGATATCATTCCACCCACCCTTGCCCTGGGGTTGCTGGCCGTTGGGCCTGTGTCCCTGCTGAGCCACACAGCATTGGGATTCTTGGGAACAGTCCAGTCCATCTGCTGGCTCAGGGCAGCCTCTGGTTCAGTGTCCCCGTGTCCAGCCTTAGTGGTGGCCATCTCGGCTGAGGGGACTTCCCACTTGCACTGGGCTGGACCTGTGGGACGGTGAGCGGGAGGCTGGCTGTCTGCTCGAGGCCTGACCGGGCACAGCCTCAGGTAACCTGAGTCCCTGGCTCAGCAATGCTGGGGGGGGATACCCAGAGGCCTTGTGGGCCGAGCAGGTGTGTCTGGCCACCCTCAGGCAGCCGCGTCCTTGTGTGTGGCTGCGTCTTGGGACTTTGACATTGAGGCGTTTCCTGGATTCTGTAGTTTGCACGGGCCCTGGGCAGCCCCAGGTCAGGTCAAGCTAGGGCCATTCTGCAGCTCTCAGGGGGACCTGAGACTCTCTTGGGCCCCACCACCACCAGGGAGAGGCATAGAGAGGAGGATGTGTCCTTGGCAGCCTCAGAAGGCTGGATGTCCCCAGCCCTGCCTGGCTGGCCTTCCTGCTGGCTCAGCTTAGGAGCCGCCATGGGGCCAGGCTTCTCAGGTGGGTATTGTAGTCTGGTCTGGCCGCGTCGCCTGCCCTCGCTGGGTGGTCTCAGTCTCAACTCCTCTGGCTTCACGCTGCTTTGGCTGTGAGCATCGGGTATGTGAAAGGGTGTTTTTGTTTTTAACTTAGTTTATTATATTAACAAAAATTACCAAAGTCACACATGCTCGCTGTCACAAACTCAAGCCAGCAGGGCATATGTGGCAAGGCATCTGCCTGGCCCCGCAGGTTGCTGCCCTCCAACCATGCTGTGGGTGCGTCCTGAGGGGCCTGCCACCCGCTCCTGTGTCTGATGGCCACTGCGGGCTGCCCATGAGCTGCAGAAACCCCCACCCCACGTGCACTCCCAGCAGAAGCCGCGCTTTTTGGGGGATTTGTAGGATCCATGCGTGCCTTGGCCTAGGAGGTGAGTGGGCAGGCAAATCTGGGTGTTGAAGCAGGAGTAGGAGTTCCTTAGGTTGTCTGGGCAGGCTTGGGAATGGCTGAGATGGGGGAGGGAACAGGACTGGGCAGAGAGCAGCTTCAGAGGCTGAGGCTGGGCCGGGAAAGGGGGATGGATTGAGGTGACGCTGGAAGGTGCAGTGGGCAGACAGAACAGGGAGGCTCACCTTACTTCCTCCCTGGACCTCTGGGCTGGTGGCCTGGTGGCCTCAGGGTCCTGGGAGAGGACCCCCATCAGCTGTCTCATTTCTCCCTCCCCTGAGACCTATGTGGAGAGATCCAAGCTCTATTTATTGTATAGAATCATTTATTCAGTGGAATAAATTCCTTCTCGAAGGGGCTGATCAGTCACTCAACGTTAGTGTGAACGTGAGCTTGAGGCTCACCCTGGCTACTGAGGGATGTAGCTGGAAGTTGGGGGAAGGGAGAGCAGGTCCTGGCGGGGCGGAGGCAGTGGTCTCCCCCATGAGAGGGGTGGCCTCAGCTTGGGGGCCTCCTGCCCCAACCCCCCATCCCACTGTGGGCCGGGCCCTGAGTTCCCCGAGCCTCTGTTTCTGGCCACAGCTGGCGACAGAGTAAGAGAAGGGGGAGTCTGAGGTGTGGCTGTGGCCCACAGGCGTCTTTGGCTGAATGTGGGGGTTCCTACCTTCACCTCCCACTTTTCCCCGTATGGGTCACGGCTGTTCTGACCCAGCAAAGCAGGGGAGGTCTCTGGGCCTGTGGTGGTTTGGTGGGAGCAGTGTGGGAGGGCCTGGCCCGGCCTCTGGGCTGTGAGGCAGAGGTTGAGGGGGTTTGGCCTGCAGTCTCCCCACTGCCAGGACCACCTCGCTGCTTCCAGGCCTGGCTGGACTTGGCACTGAGCTTGTCTGCCTGGTGGTGGCCCCAGGCCACCCATCTCTGGGCCAGGAGCTCCGGTCTCTGGGGCCACCTGCCTGTGGGCCCTGGGTGGCGTGGTGTGGGGGCTGCGGGGCAGGGGTGGGCGCTTGGCCTGGCCTCAACTGCCTGGGTGAGCTCCCGCTCTGCCCTCCGCAGGTGCCATCTGGGGCCAGTGCCCCTGCCGTGTTGGGAGAGTCCAGACAGGCCACGCCCTGGAGCTTGTGGCACAACCTGGAGGACGGGGACCCCCCTCACCCTGGAGTCTGCGGAGCCTGAGCCTAGGGGGGTGGGGGGCTCAGTACCGCCTATGGACGGGCTGGGCGAGGAGTGGCCAGCTCTGGGGTCAGGAGGCAGTGAGGTGACGGGTGAAGGCTCAGTGGGAGCTGAGGACCCCTGACTTGCGGGGACACGCAGGAGGCTCTGAGGGCTCGGGGACAGCTCTTCCTCCCCTGTCGTGCGCCAGCTCACTCTGCCAACTTCCTGCTCCATGGCGAGAGAACGGGTGGGGGGATCCTGTGCCTCTGGGGACATAGTTGGAGCCGTTGCACTGGGAAGGGCTGGCCTGTGGCATGCTGTGGCGGGTCCTCCTTGGCCCGTGGCTGTGCTCGCTCTAAGGGCCCTGCTCTGAGCAGATTCCTCGTCTGGGCGAGTCCGCGGGGGCGGCGGGCGGAGCTGGGCAGCCACAAGTTCGAGGTTAACCCGGATCTTGCTAGGAATTCTGAGGTTGGGGGCACGATGCCAACGGGGGTGCCCCCAAGGCCGGTGGAGACTGCTCCTGAGGTCTGCTCTCCCACCCAGCGAGGCCTGACCCAGGAGGGGGCCCCTAGGGTTGTTTGGAGGCGTTTCCATGCTTGGCAGAGGCTTCTCCCCCACCCCGACTTTGTCCCTACCCTGGGGCTCCTGGGAGATTGTGCTGACCGCCGGTGGACAGCACCACACCTCGAGGAGAGCACCCATGCCCTTTGTCCTGGGAGCTTTGGCATCTGCCCCTTCCCTCCCTGCTGTCCTGGCCAGGCTGCGCTGGGGCCTGTGGTGCTCCCCGGTGCCCCGACCCCCAGGTGGAAGGCAGGCTGCTCTGTCGTGCAGGTTGGAGAACTTGGGTTCCTCAAGCTGGGGAGGGCCAGGGAAGCAGGGCCTCTGAGCCCAAGGAGGGACGTCCATGCAGGGTGAGGGATACAGAGGCCTTGGGCAGCCCTGGGTGGTGGGTCATCGAGGCCGTGGCTGGGTGGGTAGTGGGGGCTCTGGGTGCTCCCAGGCCCCCTTGCCTGGGGCGTCTGCCTTTGGGGGAGCCAGGTGGGCCCTGCAGTGTGGGGCCGCGGGTGCTCTTCTGCCTCCCCATGGGTGAGTCAGAAAGGGCTGGGGCTTGGGTGTGGCGGGGGAGGCTGTTGGCCAGGCTACCTGGGCTGTGAGGTGGGAACCACCAGGTCCTTCCCTGGTCTCTGTTGCTGCAGCCACTCAGAGATGGTGCTCTCAGTCTGCTGGGCCCCTGGGAGGGCTTGCTGCAGCCCTGTCTCTTGGCTGCAGCTGGCAGAGCCCCAGGTGTCTCTGGACCACCCCAGGTCTTCCTGTGGTGACAACCTCTCATGTGGCCTCCTTACCCAAGTCCTGGGCCAAGTCATAGCCTCCCCTGGAAGCTCAGCTCTACAGGGCTGTGGTGCATGAATAGGGGCAGCAGACATGGGTCTGCTCCTCGCTGGAGAGAGGGGGGTCCTGAGAAATGACCCTTTCTGCCCTTTGGGAGCGTCCACCTCATTGGTGTGTGTATGGCTGGCCCTGGGAGGTGTCTGGGGGGCCGTCACAGGACCCGGGCTGGGTGCCCCCTCCCTCCCAGGCTGGCCCTGTCTTCTCTCTCCACTCTGCCCCCAGGTCTGGGGTCCCCTCCTGGTGGATGGCGTGGACCGGGGCCTTGCTCTCTGGGTAGGAGTGTGGGCTGCTAGCTCTGTGGAGGGCCTCCTGCCATGTGCTGCTGCCCGGGACTGGCCGAATCAAGGCATCCGGGCCCAGCAGGCCATGAGGCTGCTTCTTGCCTGGTCTGTCGGCTCCTGTTTCTCCACTGGGCCCAAGGCCTGGGCGTGGAAATCACGCTGTGCTAGGCAGGGCTGGGCTCCAGGAGGCGGGCTGTCGGGGCTGCTCCTGCTGCAGTGCCCGCCCTGCTCCCTGGGCCTCCAGGAGGCCAGGGTGTGGGGTGTGTCTGGGCCACAGCCACTGCCTGCCCTGCCCCGCTGCCTCTCCCCTGTGAGCCATGCTGGCTGCTGCCCTCCTCACCTCTTTGAGCCTGACACCTAGACCCCCCACCTCAGGCTCATCATTGCCTTGGCTCTCTGTGTCCTGCCTTCCCTACCGCCCAAGCCCACCTGACTGGGGGCAGCATGAAGACACAGGCCAGGGGACTGGTTGCTGGGCGGTGGGTATGGCCCATGGAGCTCGCTGACCTTGGGGGGCTAAGACTTCTCAGTAGGCCCAGCTGGCTTTGTGCCCTTTCAGTTCTTGAGTTGGGCTGGTGCTGCAAGTGGGGATCTGCTTGTCTCCCTGGCTGAGCAGACGGCCCTGGAGGGTGGTGGCCTGCCCTCGGAGTGTGTGTGTGTGTGTGTGGGGGGGTCTGCATGCCGTGCCGTCTTGACCTACCTGTGTCTGTGGGGGTCTGACCGCCCTCACATCTGTGCTGAGGCCTGCTGTGGACAAGGCCCTGTTTTGGGCCCAGGGGGATGCAGAGAGTGAGCCAGACAGAGCCCCGCCCTCACAGACCCACACTCCGTGGGGCACACAGACAGGTAGATGTTATAGAGTGCTACAGGCAGTGACCCCCCCAGTGGCGGAGGGTCAGGGGTCTGGACCCCCTTGGACCTGGCTCCTGGGAAGGGTCCTCAGGAGGAGGAAGAGGGTCCCCAGGAAGAGAATGTGCTGGGCAGGGGCATCCACACAGACTGATGTCTGGGCATGTGACATGTGCCCTGGGCAAGGGTGGGGAGTCTTACCTCCAGAGCCCACTGGTGGTAGCTGGCCCCGGTTCGGGTGGTCTCACGGCCGTGTCTGCCCACAGGGTGGTGAAGGAGGAGATTTCTGATGATAATGCCAAGCTGCCCTGCTTCAATGGCCGCGTGGTCTCCTGGGTGAGTCTGTGGGACGTTGGCAGAGGGTGCTCAGCCAGAGTGGGGGTGGCCCCTGTGTTGCAAGATGGGAGCTGGGCGTGGGCGAGCGGGTGTGGGGTGGGAAGAGGCTGGTCACCTGTGCCTGGGCACCCTGCTGGGCGGGGCCTCCCTGAGCCCTCGTTCTCCTTCACAGCTGGTGCTGGCCGAGGGCACACACTCAGACGCAGGGTCTCAGGGCACTGACGGTCACGCAGACCTGCCCCCGCCTCTTGAGCGGACAGGCGGCATCGGGGACTCCCGGCCCCCCTCCTTCCAGTAAGGACCCTGGGGGGCGCTGAGCCTGGTAGTCCTAAGGGGCCTGCTGCCTGCCAGGCCTGTGGTGGGGAGGAGGGGCAGCTGAGCAAGGACCCACGGTCAGTAGGAGCTGGTCAGCAGAGGAGGGGCAGGCAGAGAGGCCCAGACCTGGTGGTTGGCTGGGCAAGGGCCCCTGCCAGATTCAGGGTCCCACCAGGTGAGGGGAGGCGAGGAGCCAATGGCATCTGAGGCGTTGGTCGCCCGCCTGCCCCAGCCCACCCCCCTCTTTGGCACAGCCCAAATGTGGCCAGCAGCCGTGACGGGATGGACAACGAGACCAGCACAGAGTCCATGGTCAGCCACCGGCGGGAGCGACTCCGACGCCGGAACCGCGAGGAGGGTAACAACCCCAGACCTCCCTGGGCCCCCATGGTGCACCCCAGGTCCCTGCCGACCCCTGGTTACTGCCCCCCACCAGTGGGGTCCTGGGTAGAGGTCCCAGGACCAACTGCCTGGGACCCCAGTGTCCCCTCAGCACCCCCATAGTGACCCTGCCAGCTCCCAGGTCAACAATGCTCGAGGCCACACAGGCTGCCGTGACCTCCAGGGGATCCTACGGCCAGCTCCCCTCCCTGCTGTCCCCACAGCTGCTCGGACCAATGGGCACCCGAGGGGGGACCGGCGGCGGGACCTGGGGCTGCCCCCTGACAGCACATCTACCATGCTGAGCAGCGAACTCGAGTCCAGCAGCTTCATTGACTCGGACGAGGACGACAACACAAGCCGGTGTGCAGGCGTGTGTGTGTGTGTGTGTGTAGGAGTGTGCATGTGTGTGCGTGCACACGAGCACGTGTGTGTGTGCATGCGTGGGTGTCACAGGTGTGTGTGTGCATGTGTGTACGTTTGTGTGAGCATGGGGTGTGTGTGTGTATGGGTGTGTGCACGTATAGATGTGTGCACGGGTCTGTGTGCGCACAGGTGTGGGCATGTGGGCGCATGGGTGTGCATGCATAGGTGGGTGCCCACATGTGCATCCACAGGTGTGTGCACGTAGACGTGTGTCCATGTGTGTGCATGTGTGTGTGCGTGTGTCTGGCCAAGTGCACTTTGTGCACACGAGTGTGTGCATGTGCAGGTGGCCGTGCTGGCTTACTTGGTGTTCGTATCTCCATGTTTGCCAGGGCATAGCGATCCACGTAGGTGTGGGGTTTGTGTGTGTCATGTGTGCACGGTGGCGGTGTGTCCAACCAGGAGCTGAGCCTTCTGAGCAAACCTCACCCAGGCCCTGTGTCTCCTGGTTTCGGCCTGGCCAGACCCTGCCACCTCCTGTCCCACCCTGGCTCCTCCTCCTCAGTGTCCTCAATGGTGTGAAGGGGGTGGGGGCACCCTGTTCTCTGCCCCTCCTCAGCCCTGCAGCCCCCCGCCCAGCCCCTCACCTGCCTGCCCCCCCCAGGCTGAGCAGCTCCACGGAGCAGAGCACCTCCTCCCGGCTTATCCGGAAGCACAAGCGCCGGCGGCGGAAGCAGCGCATGCGGCAGACGGACCGTGTAGGTGGTGGCTGGGCACCGGGAGGGGTCTGTCCTTCGCCCACAGCCCCTGTTCACAGCCCTTTCCCCACCTCCTGGTGCCCTCCACAGACCTCGTCCTTCAGCAGCATCACGGACTCCACCATGTCCCTGAACATCATCACTGTCACACTCAACATGGGTGAGGCCTTGCAGGGGCCACTCGGCAGGGCAGGGGGTGTCCCTGGGCGGGGGTCCCTGGGTGGGGGCTCCCTGGTTGTGGGGTCCCTGGGTGGGGGCTCCCTGGGTGGGGGGGGATCCCTATGCATGGAGTCCCTGGGCAGGGGTCCCTGGGTTTGGGGTCCTTGGGCACAGGGTCCCTGGGTGGGGCGCCTACTCACACCCCCCACCCCCTGCAGAGAGGCACCATTTCCTGGGCATCAGCATCGTGGGCCAGAGCAACGACCGGGGCGACGGAGGCATCTACATCGGTTCCATCATGAAAGGTGGGGCCGTGGCTGCCGATGGCCGCATCGAGCCGGGTGACATGCTGCTGCAGGTGCGGGGCTGCAGGGAGCTACCGGAGGGCCCAGAGGTCAGCACCCCCACCCCACCGCGCTAAACCCCTCACCCCCCAGGTGAACGACGTCAACTTTGAGAACATGAGCAACGACGATGCTGTGCGCGTGCTGCGGGAGATCGTGTCCCAGACGGGGTGAGGCGCAGGGGACACGGGACGGGGGTGGGGCACGGGGGGCCTCACCTGTGTGACCGCCACACCCCGCCCCGCAGACCTATCAGCCTCACGGTGGCCAAGTGCTGGGACCCGACCCCTCGGAGCTACTTCACCATCCCGAGAGGTGAGTGAGCCCGCGGGGCTGGCGGGGCTGGGGTGGGGGCGCCAGCCCAGCCTGAAGGGTCTCTCTCCTCTGTGCCCCTGTGCTCTGCTTCTCCCCCACTGTCTGTCCGTCCATTCATCTGTCCGTCTGCTGCCACACGGTGGCCACCCAGCTGACCCGGTTCGGCCCATTGACCCAGCCGCCTGGCTGTCCCACACGGCGGCGCTGACTGGAGCCCTGCCCCGCTACGGTACGAGCCCCTGCTCCAGCGCCGTCACGCGCACCAGCTCCTCCTCACTAACCAGCTCTGTGCCCGGCGCTGCACGTAAGTGGCAGCTCACGAGATCAGGGAACTGAGGCACTGGGGCGAGGGGCCCAGCAGAGGCGCCCGCCAGCGCAGTCCCACCCGCCGGCCGTCCCAGCCTCTGGCGTTGTGCCAGGCCCACTCGGACAGACGTGGTGCTGACATGCGTGTGCACTCTCACGCACACGTTCCTCCCAGCTCACTGTCTGTGTGGCGAGAATGAAAGATGCCTGGAGGGCCCGGGCCAACCCCAGGGTCCCTGCCTGGCGGTCTGCCTCTGCAGGGGTGGGGCGAGGTGGGTGTGTGCACGTAGCACCTGCTTTCCTGCCGCTAACACAACTAACAGCCCCAAGCTGGTGAAGGAGGGCAGTGCAAGAGGCCTGATCCCCCGTGGGGTCTGGTCCAAGGGTGGGGCGGCCTCGCCCTGGTTTGGGCCCAAGATCCTGATGAAGCATATGCAGGGATAGGAAACGATGGTCCAATTCCCCAACACCAGCCCCCCCACCCCCACCCCTGAGGTGTCTGTCAAGTGGTGGGGGCGGGCCCCGCAGTCGCTCAGCCTCAGGGCTGGGCTCCCCGCTGCACACTGCCCAGAGCCCGGCCTCTGAGAGGGGGTACGGCAGGCAGGGCCTGGGGTCCTTCCCAAGCCCTCCCCCTGCCCGTCAGCGCTCGGGGCTGAGGAGGGGCCGTGCCTTTCAGAGCTGGAGGAGGCGCCGCTGACGGTGAAGAGTGACATGGGCGCCGTCGTCCGGGTCATGCAGCTGCCCGACTCGGGCCTGGAGATCCGCGACCGCATGTGGCTCAAGATCACCATCGCCAACGCCGTCATCGGTGAGTGGGCGCTCCTCGGGGTGGGGCGGGGCGGTGTGTCCCGGCCCCGCGCTGACACCTGGTGCTGCTGGCCAGGGGCGGACGTGGTGGACTGGCTGTATGCACACGTGGAGGGCTTCAAGGAGCGGCGGGAGGCACGCAGGTATGCGAGCAGCATGCTGAAGCGCGGCTTCCTGCGGCACACCGTGAACAAGGTCACCTTCTCTGAGCAGTGCTACTACGTCTTCGGGGACCTGTGTAGCAGTAAGTGGGGGGCTGCGGGGCGGCGGTCCCCAGAGGGCCCACCCACTCCGCCCTCACCCACCCTCCCCTCCTGCCAGACCTCGCAGCCCTGAACCTCAACAGCGGCTCCAGCGGGGCCTCGGATCAGGACACGCTGGCCCCGCTGCCCCACCCGGCTGCCCCCTGGCCCCTGGGTCAGAGCTACCCCTACCAGTACCCGGGGCCCCCGCCCTGCTTCCCGCCCGCGTACCAGGACCCCAGCTTCAGCTACGGCAGTGGCAGTGCTGGGAGTCAGCAGAGTGAAGGTGAGAGCCCACCGGGCGCCCGGCCCCTGCAGCCCCGCCGCCTGGCCCCAGTGTGCCCGCCCCCCGCCTTGTGCGCTCCTGCCTGCTGTGCTGAGGCCCGGGGTGGGGTCCTTCTGGAAGGGGTGAGTGTTGAGGGGATGGAGAAGGAGCTTGGAGGCTTTGGTGGTTGTGGGGTGGGGGGCGATGTTCCGTTTGTGGCTGAGGCAAGAGGCCAGGAGATGGTGTGGGAGAGGGCGGCGTGATGGGTGTGAGGGTGTGGGGGTGTGTGGCAGAGGGGCCCCAGGACACAGTGGGGGACAGACACCTCCCTCTGGCACCTATAGCCTGGCAGGGAGACAGAAGTGGACAGTTCCACAGACAACCATGTTCTCATGCTGGGATGTGAGGGGGAAGATCGGGGGGTGTCCCTGAGGAGGGGACTTGTTGGAACAATGGCCCGGGGCTGCATGGGGGTCTGTGTGGCCAGTGAGCGCTGCCTGTATGGTCTGGGGAGAGACCAGGTGGCCAGCCCAGTGACCCAGAAAGGCACGGAAGAGACGGGAGAATGGGCTGGAGGGCAGCAGTGCCCGAGAGGAAGCTGCGTTGGGCGCCTGAGACCCTGGGCAGGCCCCACTGGTGGCAGCGTGCCCTGGCAGGCGAGTGTGGTGCTCAGGCTGGGCCTGGTGTGTAACTCATGCTATCCCTTGCTTTGTGCTGAGCAAGCCTTAGACTGAAGGACTAGCGGAATGGACCCTTGGGGCCGGTAAGCCAGGGTCCTTCCCAGCGTCCCTCTCAGCATGTCCCCAGCCAGCCAGCGTCCTCAGGTTCCCAGCGCTTCCTGGGAACCCAGGACAGGGGCTGAGCTGAGTAGCTGGCCAGGGCCCCGGGGTGGGATGGAAGGTGGGTCTTTGGCTGGGGAGCCCAGGATGGCGGACGGGAGCGCTGGGCACACAGGCCTGTCGCTGTGCCTCGGTTTCTCAGCTGCAAGACCAGGCCCTCGGTTCAGGCATTGGGGTGAGGTGTGGGGGCATCAAGCTGGCCCCGGAACATCGCTGCCTGTCTGCTACTGCCCCTGCCTCACCTGCTGCAGCTGCTCCTGCTTCTCTGGGCAGGGCTGGCCCTGCCCTCATGTCTGCATGGCTGACCCCCTTCCAGCCCCACCCCAGCTCAGAGCCGCCAGGTTCTGGCCCTGGTTGCTCTGGCAATGGCCAGTTGTCCTGGAAGAGGCAGGGCCTGGCACTGACCATCTTCTTCCCCCTTCTCAACTTCAGGAAGCAAAAGCAGTGGGTCTACCCGGAGCGCCGGCGGGAGCAGCCGGCGGGCACTGGGCCGTGAGAAGGAGCGCCGGGCGGCTGGAGCCGGGGGCAGCGGCAGCGAGTCGGACCACACAGCGCCAAGTGGGGCGGGTGGCAGTGGCTGGCGGGAGCGTCCGGCTAGCCAGCTCAGCCGTGGCAGCAGCCCACGCAGCCAGGCCTCAGCCGCTGCCCCGGGGCTCCCCCCACTGTACCCCCTGACGAAGGCCTACTCGGTGGTGGGCGGGCCACCTGGGGGGCCGCCCGTTCGGGAGCTGGCTGCTGTTCCCCCAGAGCTGACGGGCAGCCGCCAGTCTTTCCAGAAGGCCATGGGGAACCCCTGTGAGTTCTTCGTCGACATCATGTGACCGAGGAGAGAGTGCCTTCAGCCGGCCCTGCAGGAGGGCGCTGCACCTGGAGCTTGTGTGGGCTTGCCTTAGTGGTGGCCGTCCTGGGTCAGGCCAGCCAGTGCTTCCACTTGCACAAGAGGCCGTGCCGTGGGGTCCGGGCCTGGAGAGCGTGGGAGCAGGCTGGAGGGGAGGGGCTGAGGGCAGCCCGTCCACTCCCAGTTGGAGCAGCTTGTGTCCATGCAGACCCTAGTGGGGAGCCTCCATCGCCCTGTGCTCAGGCAGGTCTGACCTGCCCCCCTTGACGTGCGCCTCAGGGACCCCTACTTGCCCACAGAGCTGTGCACAGAGCTGAGAGGTGGCTGCTGGGCCTGGGGCCCCTCTTCACCCAGTTCACAGGCCCTGCCCATCTTGCCCAGGCTAGGGGGCCCTCTTCAGGGTGGAATCAGAGCCCCCAGGCTCCTCGGTGGCTGCCCAGGGTAGGATCTAATTTATTTATTTATTGCCTGCATCTGTGCTCTGGGGGAGATGGCAGCCAAGTCAGCCGACCCCCCACCTGGCTGGAGCAGAGTTTGCATGTCCCCCCACGCTGGGTCTCAGAGCAAATGCAGGGACACAGGTCGTGTCTGAAAGTGTTGGGGAAGGTCGGTGAGGGGGAGATGGGAGGGGGGGAACGTGACCCTGAGGGGTGAGGGGCAGGGATGCACACAGCTGCTACAGGGGCAGGGCCTGGGGGAGAGGGGGCAGCCAGCCCGCCCTTCCTCGCTGTCCTTAGGTGACTGCCCACCCGCGCACGCCACTTCCTTCTCGGCATCTCTGGCCTGCACACATCTGCGCTGTAGATCCTGTATCGAGTCGGAACATCTGTTCGGATAGTTAATAGAGCTGCTTCTGTGTAAATGCTATTTTAAACACTAAAAAGCATTTAATTTTATGGGACTGAGGTGTGGTTTGTGTCCTTTCTCTCTCTCCAGCTGGGCTGCCTTAGGAGACTGGGGCGTGGGGGTTGGTCCAGCCTCCCCAGGGCCTGGCCAAGAGCTGATTTAGGACAGGTGGTCTCCTCGGGGGTCCCAGCTCAGCCACAAGGCTCTGTCCCGGTGCTGGCTGCTAGCAGGGTCCTGCTGGGCTGTCTTCTGTCCGTGGTGCTGGCTCCCGGCTCCAGGGGTCCTGGTGGCTGGCACTGGCCTTGGTGCTGACCACCCCCCCACCCCGCCCCACGCCGGCCTGGGCTCTGTCCACGGTGCTGGTGGCAGGCTGACCCCATTCTACCCACCCGGCAGGGCCAGGGAGCGAGAAGGAAGCTGGGTGCTGGTCTCCGCCTGAGCAAGCGTCTGTCCTGCGCTGGAGCCCATGGTCAGGCACACACCCTACAGAGGGGTCAGGGCAGCCCACCCACTAGCGTTCCATTTCTGTGACACTTGGAGGGGGTACTGGGTGGTGGCTCCAGGCTCAGCCAAGTGACGCCCAGCTCGGCTTTCAGGGGGCTTTCTGAGCTTTCAGCACGGGCTGCGGGGGGCTGAGGAACCCTCCATGGGCCTCTTTCCAGAACAGTGGGGCTGGGTCACCTGGGCAGGCCTTGGCCAGGGCTTGGCTGGGATGGGGATAGAGCCTGACTCCCTGGGGTCCCAGGTGGTGAGACCCACGGGGCTGAGGCCCCTCATGCACTGTCAGCAGTCAGCCTGGGGCCAGAATCTAGAGCTGGGGGGTCTCAGCAGAGTCGGGGCACAGTTTGCCGGTTCCTGCATGGAGACTTGGTTTGGGGGCATCTCAACTAGGTCTGGGTTCATGGGGGTAAGGTCACCTGGTCAGGAATCACTTGTTTTTGCCCTGAGTCTCCTCCCCACCCCCACTGCCATCCTGTCCTTTGGCATCGCCTGGACCCCCTCCCAGGAAGAACTCGGGGGTGTTGAGCTCCGGCCGCCACAGCAGCAGGTAGCACTTGGGCAGGTGGAAGGTGGCCAGGATGCCCAGGGCACAGAGGAGGATGGCGCCCATCTGCACAGCGGGCTGGTAGGCCACGTGCACGTTGGCAAAGAGGGGCACAAAGGAGATCCACGTGATGAAGTAGGCCAGCGTGGCAAAGGTGAGGCCACGAGCGCCGTTGTAGCGGCCGGGCTGGCTCTGTACCAGGAAGGTGCCCAGGAAGCAGAGGAAGGCCAGCGTGGCATTGGTGGTGTGCACCAGGCCGAAGCTGACCCAGGAGTGCACACGGCAGTGCACCAGTGCCTCTGTGGGCAGCACCCGCCAGTCTGTCATCACCTCCGGTGGGAAGGCCACCAGGTACCAGGTGCACAGTGCTGCTTCGGCCAGCATGGCGAGCAGCACCGCCAGCCAGGCCCAGGGCCCCCGAAGGCGGCCATGCAGCCAATCCGCCCAGCTTATTGGCAGCTCTGCCCTCACAAAGATCTCGGCCGCCTGCAGGAAGAGGGTGCTCAGGCAGCCGGTGAGTGGGAGGTGGAGCAGCAGCTGCTGAGCCAGGCAGCTGGTGGGGCTGGGCCAGCCGGGGTACAGGAGGACGCTGAGGCAGACAAGGCTCAGGCAGGCCAGGCCAAAGCAGGCCCGTGGTCCCCCCGAGGCCCAAACCAGCGGGCTGTCCCTGTGCTGGATGAAGAGCCCCAGGGCTGCCAGTGCCAGGCACAGAGCCAGGCCCAGCAGCATGAGCAGCACCAGCACGGCCGGCTCCCCCCACGCCAGGAACTTGGGCCTGCGGGGGAAACAGCGCGTGCTCCTATCTGGGGACCACTGGTCCTGGTCACACAGGGTGCAGAGGAGGTCATCTGTGGTGTGGGAGGAGAGAGCAGGCACTGAGGTGCAGGGGCTTCCCTCTGGCCTCGCCCCTACCACCGCCTCTGGCCGCGGAGTCAGCTTCAGAGCTGGGACACACTGGGATCGCCTCCAGGCCATGTGTTCCCGGCCCTGCGGGTCCTCTCTCCCACTCCTGCCTCAGCTTGTGCAGGCCCGCCGGGAAGCTGGCTCACTGGGAAGGTGGCTCACTGGGAAGCTGGCTCACTGGGAAGGTGGCTCAC